GCTGTGGAGTCTCCTTCTCTGGAGATATTCCAGACCCACCTGGACGCGGTGCTGTGCAGCCTGCTCTGGGTGACCCCGCTTGGGCAGGGGGTTGGGCTGGGGGACCCCCAGAGGGCCCTGCCAACCCCACCATTCTGGGATTCTGGGATTCTGTGCCTTGACAGTTTGATACTGGATCTGCCCCGTCTCTGTCATCAGTCATGTTTTTTCCAGTAACATTGTTTTGTTCTTAGCTCTTACATCTTTATGTTCAGTGTTATCTCAGTTGCCTTCAAAAACCACACAGCTCTTCTGGCGGTTCCTGTGTGGAGGCTCTCATGTGTTACCAGGCTTTGAAAAGATTTTGAGTTTCATTTTCCTTCTAGACTTTTTTTTTCTGTTGCCTCCCCATTCAAATTGAACAAATGTTGTCAAAGTTCTTTTTCCCCCCTAAATATCGGTGCAGCTCTCCTTCTTCTCCCTTTGTGAAACCTGGGTCACAGTTCCTCCTAACGCTGTCTGAGGTTCTTACGTCTGGCTCTGGTGCGGGCGAAGCTTCGAGGAGTTCATCGACGTGTTCTCCTGAATTCAGCAGTATCTCTGGTCTCTTCCAGTAACTCGTCACAACCACCTGAAGGACTTCATGCTGGTGGTGTCCATCGTCATCGGCGTGGGCGGCTGCTGGTTTGCCTACATCCAGAATCGCTATTCAAAGGAGCACATGAAGAAGATGATGAAAGACCTTGAGGGTCTCCACAGAGCTGAACAGTCTCTCCATGACCTTCAGGAAAGGTGGGTTTTATGCGTCCACCCAGCTGGAGTATCCAGCTGTTGGTCTTTCCTGAAAGGTTATTCCTCATTTAGGTTTCAGGAAAGGTTTTAGCTTCTGTGCAGCAGCCACTTGGTGCTGTGTACCAGAGCCAGCACCATCCTGAGTGACGTAGCCAACCTGCCAACCCGTCTTACCAGCTCGAGCAGGGGCCTGGCTCGTCACCAGGCCACGCATAAGGACACGTGCGTGCTCACCTGACCGGCTCTTCGGTGGTGACGTGCCAGTTACTTGTCCTTGCGGCGTGCCACGTGAAGGCCGGGCTGGTGAAACCTCCCTCGCCATACCGCAACGTGGCAGGGAGGTCCCCTGATCAGAGCGACGGTGTCCAACCCAGATCTGAGGTGGGCTCCCATGCACGGTGAAGCATCATCGAGCGCGGCCGTACGTGCTCCCACGGTTTCGTTTCCTTTCTGTTTGTCTGTTTGGTTCCCGTCCTGCTCTAGCGTCGCTGCTGCTTCAGAAAAAACAGTTTCTGGGTTTCTGGGGAGACCTGGCTCTGTTGGGTTTCTGGAGAGACCTGGCTCCGATGGGTTTCTGGAGAGACCTGGCTCTGTTGGGTCTCTGGGGAGACCTGGCTCCTTTGGGTTTCTGGAGAGACCTGGCTCTGTTGGGTTACTGGAGAGACCTGGCTCCGCTGGGTTTCTGGAGAGACCTGGCTCCATTGGGTCTCTGGAGAGACCTGGCTCTGTTGGGTTTCTGGAGAGACCTGGCTCCGTTGGGTCTCTGGGGATACCTGGCTCCGTTGGGTTTCTGGGGAGACCTGGCTCTGTTGGGTTTCTGGAGAGACCTGGCTCTGTTGGGTCTCTGGGGAGACGTGGCTCCGTTGGGTTTTCGGAGGGACCTGG